GATGGAGTTTTTAATCTCCTGGAAATCTGTTTGCATCTGTTTTATGGATTCCATTTGTTTCCTATGTTGGGATTCCGTCATGTTCCTCAGATCCTCTATTTTTTTATCTGTGTCCGCTCTAGATTTATTAATCATGTCTTGCACTATGGGCACAATCTTTGCTGCTACCTGAGAAATTATTTCTGATTTCATTTTTTTCAGATCTTCTTTTGTTGCCAGTTCAGAGAGTCCAGGTGGTTGAGTGTCAGATTGTTCCATCTTGTTTCCCTTTGGGGTTGCTGTAGGTGATCTGGGAGTCTGTTTTCGGGGCTTGTTTACGTGTCTCATTTTGACAGGGGGGTGGGGGGGTGCTGCTGGCGCCCATGTGGCTCACCTCTTCCTGGGTGCCGGGATTGGCTTACCTCCTCTGCCCTTGGAGCAGTGGAATGGTGGTGGATAGCCTCCTCCTGGGCGTGGATTGGCTCACCTGTGCCCTAGGAGTGGTGGAATGGTGGTGGACAGTTTTTTTATTTTGGTACCAGGGATTGAACTCAAGACCTTGCACTTTTGAGGCAAGTGCAGTGCCACTGAGCTAAATCCCCACCCCACAACACAATTTTTAATTGATTTAGCTCTGTGAGTACCTGGAGAAGAAAACTACAGAAAAGCAGTTTTTTGTTTTTGTTTTTGTTTTTGGTACCAGGGATCAAACTTGGGACCTTGTGCTTGCAAGGCAGGCATTGGAACCACTGAGCTAAATCCCCAGCCCAGCAGAGTTTGTTCTTTAAGTACAACTACTGAGCAGCTACATACAGCTCCAGCAATGAGATATGATCATTGTGTCAACTATCTAGAAATGATCCCAGCTTAGGGCGAGAAGGATAGTCAGTGTGAAGGCAGACTTGGCTGTAGGAAGTCTAATTCCAACAATGTACTGTCAGAGGCATGACCATAGAAGAACTGATGGGTAGGTATCTGCACAGCACATGAGATAAATGTTTCTATAGGTACTACTGGCAAATTGCAGAATATTACATGACAAACATGCTCTATGGTTTGAGTAACCCACAGGAACATAATTCTTAGGTATTTTAATGGTGCATACAATCATAAACACACTTTAGCGTATGCCCTTAAATTCCATTAGTACATGAAGAATGGAGCTTAGGTTTGTCTCCCTTTGGGAGATATGCCATCACAATCCAAGGAAATAAATCTGATAAATTACACCCATACTTGCATTAGCAAAGGCTTTCCAATAAGATACTTTTAAAACTGAAGTTCCCTTGTCTATTTAAATTTTAGATCAATTGAAGCTAAAGAACTGAAGGCCAAAGGAATGTGAAGCTATAAAAACCCTAAATTATAATGTATAGAGGAAACAGTTTTGCACAAAGGCCGACACACAAGTCATGGCCAATATGTATGTATATGTGTGTGTGTGTGTGTGTGTGTATGTATGTATGTATAAAGTTGCACACCTTTCCATAAACTTTTGAAAAATGTTGCCTCAAAGACTTTCACAAATTTCTTCTATGTATGGCTGAGAAAGAGTTGACGTCACTTGTTTCTTGGACAGGTGACTTTGTACGTGTTCTACAGCTTGCTGTGAGAATGGATGCGAACAAGAAAGAAGCTCCTTCATGATGTAGGCATCATAAATCTGCCGACTTCTATACAGGCGATCTTCCTCATTGTCAAGCTTCTCATATTCCTTTATCTTATCATAAAACTTCACCTGAGGTATAGCTTCATTAATTTCATTCCAACAAAAATCTTTAAATAGCAAGAAACCAATTTTCTGATTGAAAATCTTGTCAAAGGTTATTTCATTTCTCTCAAGGTATTTCTGCATCACGCTCCAGATACTGGGCTCCAGCAGGATGATCTTCTTGCTGGCGTGGGCGGCCAGCACTGCCTTGCTCTTCTCCATGGCCATCAGGTAGCTGACATTGGCCAGCATGGCCTCCAGGTCCACCATGTTGGCGAGCAGAGGCACTGGCGGCTCCTGGAGACCAGCACGGGACGTGCTCTCGCCACCCGCCGTGCCCCAATGTGGGGTAGCTGCCCTGGGGCAGCCACCCCTGGGTGCCCACCCCATGTACCCACGCCCACCAAGGGCCCCTTGTGCTCCGGCAGCCCCACTTCCGCCCCTTCCACGAGGGTAGCTAGGGAGCGCACCAGGGCAGCCTGCCCCTCGCCTCCTGACCTGACATTACAACTGTTGCATTCTGCATGTAAGAAAAACCAGCATCACATAGACAACACCAAGTCAGGCCCCTTTGGACCATAGCCACAGCAGCTTCTAAGTGCCTGGATGGCCAAGCATGGTGAAATGACTCCTAGGCCCTTTTCCAGCATAGTTTTCAGGGACTCTCTTCTCAAATGAGAGGTTGTCACCTTTGTACCCTTGAGTATGTGATGGGAGGGGTCTTTCTGATTCCTGAGATGCCCTGAAGGCATCTTCTTGTCCTTATATAAAGTACTTCCTTTCTTTTTAATGGTGCTAATCTCTTTAGCTGACATACATTGTTTGGCCCTAACTTTACACATGGTTCCTTCTGAGCCAGAATTTAAGTTTTTCAATTTTTTCTGTTCTGCCTTTTGTCCCTGATTCTTACTATCTGAATAAAAGCAGCCAGCAGCACCCCTGTTGCAGACTAAATGTTGGACTGTCCTAAAATTCTTTCTGCCAAAATAGTCTGCCATCCTTCATCTCAGTCTTCTGAAAAGTCTCAAGAGAGCCAAAATGTAGACCAATTTTCTGCCAGAGTATAACACATATGCCCTCTGGTCCAAGAGTAAATGGAGTCCTTCTTCCCAGCTGAAAAACCTCCTGAGCCTGGCCTTTACTGTCCACATTGACATTTTGGTTTCTGAACTTAAACCAGGTGATTACTGCAAATGGGCACCCAGGAAGCTTCTGGAAAAACATGGAACTGTCCTCAAGCTGGAATTAGTGATGGCTGAACAGTGCTAGGGTAGGCAAATTAGATCTCGGTACAGGTGTTGGAGACAAGAAACAAATTGAAGTTCTGACCATTCCAGTGTGTCCATCTCACCAGGATGAGCTGAAGCCTCTGCTGTTGGTCCTTCACAAGCATCTGAGAAGTAAAATCCAATGAAAAATATATTGAATAAATCAGTCAAGAATGTTCCCCAAAGGTACATTCTGGCCCATCTGAAGTGTAAAATCACATGTTCCTGAACAGGAAAGCTCTGTATCCATTACACTCAGGTTGGGTGCACAGTCAAAAGGAGGGGGCTGGATCAGATCCTCTCAGCTCCTTCTGGAACTAACTTTGCCGTAACTGGAAAATGTGCCAGCCCTGCCTTCTCTAAATGACTCAATACTTATTTGATGATTCCAGAAGGTCCGATCCTGTGCACAGACCACAAGCTCATGTAGGCCAGGCATCTGACTGGGGCAACATCATCTAGGCCTGATCTGAAGCTACTACTCAGCTTGTGAAATGCTGCCCCTTCCTGGTACATGGATTTGAAGTGTGCATTTCAGGCAGCGATGGGCAGCCCTAGCTATGCATGAACAGGCCCTGAACAAAGAGCAGATGGAGCTTCCCCACACTCCTGGTATTATTGACAGTGAAGTTAGGTAAAAACATTATAGGCAAACAGAGATAGGCTCTCAAGGGAGTCAGTGCAGAAGATGAGGACACATCACACCTGAGGATAAAGACACATCTGTTGAAGGCCAGGCCTACATGCCTCCCTCCAAGGCATAAGCAATAAATTGAAGATTATACTATATTGGTATTACCTGGTCCAATAAAGTCTACATAGACATCAGTCACCCCAGTGGGTGACCAGGACCATTTGATTTATCTCTCCCTAAAAAATGTCTTTGTTCTTTCCATGTACCCTTGCTATGTGACCTGCTTCCTTACTGGATCGATATTACCTAAGAGGCTATACTTGTGATCATAGTTTTGACCCACATTGTACCCACCTCATGATTTTGCTCTATAAAACTTCCTTTGAGAAGGGGACTTATTGGCAAACCACTTTTGAGTCTCTTCCTCTCAGGAGCTCTCTCTCAAACTTTTCCTACTCAACTTCCATTGTTCCTTAGAATTCATTCTTCAGTTTTGGGGAACACAAACTCAGTGTATCTGACACCTAGCAGGTTGGGAGTTACATTTATGTTCCCTATATGACCACTCCCACTGGGCCACAGCCCCCTCACCTGGTACACTCGTGTATGACCCATCTTTGTGAAGGGCAACAGACTCTGACACTTTTGTCCTTCCCGAACAAAGCTCGGTGCTGGCTGCATCACAGACACCCCAGGTTGGACAAAATGAACTGCTGAGCCATCTACAGTTCAAGGAACACTTGGGTCAATGCCGCCAAAAGCAGCCAGGGGTAAAAATGATGATTATTTTTCTGTCCCACCCTCAACCTGTCCCTTCCCACAAGAGAGGCAACAGGACAGGAGCAGACGGGACAAAGGAAGGAAACTCGGGGTTACTGACCAGCAACTCCATGCTGGGTGCAAATCAAGGGGCCTCGCTTGTTTCCCTGAATCCTTAAAATAACCCAATGAGCTAATGAAGCCCACCCCAGAGCTATGCAGAAAGGACAGGGGGCAGGGCAGAGGGAGCCCAGAGACAATGGGAACTCCCAGGGACCTCTCAGACTCCAAGCCTATTTGTTCAGAAGCCCAAGTGCCTGCAGGACATATACTTGGGCCAGACGGGACACAGAGGCCAAGTGAGACAGCCCCACCTGGCTTCCAACAGCTCACAGTTCTAGGAAGGACCAGATGCGATTCACTGCGTCTCCAAAATGATCACGTCATTACAAATTCTGCTGTACACCTCAGCAGCTCAGGGTATCACCTCTTAACCAACACAGTCATTCAAGTATCCCAAGACTTGCTTACCTCTGCTCTGAAGATGTCGCTGTAGATGTGAATACACATCTGTATCTGTCACTACTTCGTAAACACTAGTGTAAAGAATGCATGCTGTTTTGTCCAATGAGAAAATGGCACAAAAAGTCAAAATATGATGTTTGGTTTTATTTTCCTATCTCAATGTCAGTAAAAAGATCCAGAGAACTGATTGACAGACATCATGAATGTTCACCCATGTACAATATACATAGTTTCTACCGTCTGTTCTCCACGGAACAAGACGACACTCTTAGTTCAAGCCACAGTGTAAATGAAGAGATGCTGTACATGAGAAACAAAGTGGGTGGCGAAGTCTCTTCGCTCTCAGCGCTGGTGTATGTCCTGGCACCAGGGAAAAGTCCAAGGAAACACACTCGTACCACAGCTTGGACAGCAAGCGGAGGTCCTACTGCGGCTCCTCCCAGAAGAGCAGACCTGGAGCAAGGAGCCGCTAGTGTGATGGAAGTCGGTACTTTTCCCTTTTCCACCACAACACTGCTGCATTGCAATCTAAGCCCTCATCCCAGTGCAAATATAAAAGTGATCATCAAGTCAGGGTTTTATGGCAATCTTTTGCTAAAATATATTCTATTTTAATATACATGCTATAAAAGTATGCTAAAAAGATTAATCATTAGAGCTCTGTTAAGAATTTTTTTACATATAATGTACACGCCACTCTAAAAGTGTATTTGAGAAAAAGCTTACTGTGACTCCAAATACTCTGTTTATAATAATGATTTTATAATACACATATTTAGTAATGCCCTCATAATTCTATCTTGCAAAGCCTTACCAATTTCTTTACAGAAAAATGTGGCATCTACGGATCTGCAAGGAGTTTTACTTGTGCAGGCTGCCAAGTTTTTGATGTAAGCTCCTATCACGACATTTTCATTGTACATATTTTTAAATTTTGGTGTCTGAAATTCTCTTAGGATCAACATCTGGAGCTTTTAACGGGGCAAATAAAAGCAGGAGATATTGAAAACTCACTCACAGGTGGTCTGCTCTTTGGAGTGGTCATCCCCTCCTACAACAGTCTCGGGGTGATTCTAAGCTTTTGAGGAGCAGTGTGAAATCTGTCGACGTAGCACATGCAGTGGTGGCCAGTCAGCTAAGTGCCTGCCAGGCCAGAGCAAAAATGAGACTCAGTCCTGAGTGCAACTGCGTCTCCTGTAACCCCTCAGGACTCAGGATGTGACTGACAGCTAAGGTGCATTTGTGGGTCCCTTGCAGATTAGCAAACTTCTATTTCAGGGGTGAGAGACTGGAAATACAAAACAATTGTAATCTGTTTCCGATTTAAACAAAAATATTTACTTTCTTCATTAGCAAAACATTCTTTAAAATATATGTTTCTCCCCTCTGAACACCTGGCAATTTCTGAAGGCTTCCTGCCAACTGTCCGATGCATGAGATGCGAGTATAGCCAGCACACAGCACCGGAAGCTTCTGCATGGTCGATGGATCTGGGGAAGGGGAAGGAAAATGATCAAGATGCAGTATGTCCAGGTACCAGTTCCCTGAGGCACATGGAATCATTATGTGTTGCAACACATATACTGTACCAATAAAAATATATATTAAAAAAGAAATTACTCTTGTGTGTTAGTGTCCAGTCCACCAAAGCAAAGGTTTGGTATTTGTGTGCTCTTTGTTCTTGGTGGAAATGACATCTGCTTGGTCTTCATTCTTCAAAGAAAGAGGCATCGTCTTCTGCCCTCAGATTGGAGGACATGAGGGGAAAGTGCAGCAGGACCAATATCAGTACCAGGGAGTCACTCCAGGTTTAGGTCTGCGAGCTCATCATCCCCGGCTGCGTCTCCAAAGGGCCGTCCTGGAGATGAGAGGCACACAGGGCCTGCTCCATGCAGCAGTCACTCTTGCCCTGGGCCAGTCCCGGCCAGCCCCTGTCCCACTCCCTGCCCTGCACTGAGCTGCTCAGTGCCAGGCCTCAGAGCTCAGGGAAGGCAGCGCACAGGGCAACAAGGGAGAGGTCAGGCTCTGCCCACAGGGCCCGGCCATTGTGCTGCTCTTCATACTGTCCTTGTGGAACACAGCGCATGGGCAGTAGCTGTACACCTGCTCCTCCAGCAGGAATCACCTTTGCTTCTCTTGGGAAGTTTGTTTTTTTTTTGGTACCGGGGATTGAACTCAGGACCTTGCACTTACGAGGCAGGTGGCAGAACCACTGAGCTAAATGTCCCGCCCGTTGGGAAAGTTCTGAGAAGTCATTTCCCAAACAATTTTATCAGACATAGATTTGGGTGCCTGCTCTTCTAACAAATCAATAGTGGCGGAAACTTCAGCCTCCCTTTCCTGAATTTTGAACCTAGCTAAAAGTAGAATGTTTTCTCCTGGAAAATGACTATTTTGAGAAGTGGACAAACAGCTAGGGTGGCTCAACAGTAGAGCACACACCTCACACAAGCAAAGTTCTTGGTTTTATCTCCTGTACAAGAAAGACAGAGAGGGCCAGGGATTTAGCTCAGTGGTTCTGTTGCTTGCCTTGAAAGCACAAGCGCCCGAGTTTGATCCCTGCTACCAAAAGAAAAAGAAAAGGAGAGACACAAAGAGAGAGGAAAGAGACACAGAGAGACAGAGAGAGAGGGAGAGAGGGAGAGAGGGAGGAGAGACAGAGATGGAGAGGGAGAGAGAGGAAGAAAGAAAAGAGAGAGGAAGGAAAAGGGAAGGGAAGAGGAGGAAAGGAGAAAGAGAAGGAAGGGGGTTGGGAGAGCAATCATTTCCCCCCACCCTACTAAGCCCTTTGGAACATTCTTCTGATAGAAGAGGAGGAAGTGCAAGAGGACTGACTTCCTATTGTGCCTTACATAAAATGTTCTGCAAAAATTAAAGAGCAGCTCATAGGGCAAAAGTAAATATTTGTGCAAAAGATCCCACTGCCAGGTACAATCTGAAGACACCTCAAGTTCCTCATTGTATAGTGTTTGACTCTTTAAAATACAAGACTTTCAAATTATGAAACCCAGCAAGTAAGGTGAAGGAAGTTAACATCAGAAAACACATCATAGAAAAAGGATAGAATATTTTGCTGGCGATTTTCTACTTATTTCATGACTCAGATAAAGTGTTAAATATTCACAGTAATTTCAGAGGAGAAACATTTATGCCTGTAAAACTTCAGTCTATTGCATTTTCAACCATTCTTCTGTTCAGTGACAGGATTTTGTCTGTTGGGCTTCTCCTCATCCAGAGTCCTCCCTGGGGTCAGTCACACCTTCAAGGTGGGCTGGAGGATGCCCTTCTCGATAAGGTGCATCTTCAGGGTTCTGTAGATGCTCAGCTGCTGGTCTGGCTGGAGTACCAACAGCTGCTGCAGTACCTTGCTGGGATTTGGGCCCCTGTGGAACAATGGAGAGACAGAGTGAACACTGCTTTCCCAGGGCAAAGGGCAGAATTTACCCGAGTGCAGCCCAAGCCTCTCCTTCAAGTGCAGAGCAGTGACCTTCCAGAACTGAGGTGGCTTTTGGTAAGAGCTCACTTTACTCTCCATTGCTGTTGGGAGAGAGAAATCCAGAACTAGTCTGCTCTGAGGAACACACAGTCCAGATATGGAAAGAACGCACAAACACAGAACACGGGGATGACACAGGCCAAGAGGGGTGTGCAGATCGAGGTCCTACAGAGAGTCTCTGGAGGGCAGGCTGAGCTGAGAGGCAGCAACAAACAAGAGGCCCCAAGACTGGACATGACACAAAACCATTCCTTAAGGAAAGGAGCCGGCCGGACACGGGATAAACCCAAAAGTGGGCATGCAAACCTAATTTATATTCTTACCTTCAGACAAATTTTCAGATGGTAAAAGCTACTTTGTCAAAGAAACAAGGAGCTAGGAATGTTCAGGAGACAGAATGCCGATGTCCTGAGCTTAGCACTAAAGCCCCTGCCCAAGATATGCAAGAGGCACCAGAACCTGGTCCAGGAAAGTCTTGGGTGACCCAATTCAGCAAACAAGTTCCATTGTGTCTGTGCTGTTTGAAAGGAGGAGAAGGAAGAGGGTCTTGCTCTCCACATCGCCCACAGCAGGGGCCGGGGGACCCAAGCAGAGGCGGAGGAGTGCCCAGGCTGGACAATGGCACACACCCTCGCCCAGCCCCACTCTTGTGCTCACAACTCCACAGCCAGCTGGTCCCTCCTCACAGTGCCCTCCTGGCACCTCCTCCAGGATCCCTTCCCAAGCCATGAGCACAGGGCACAATCCCAACCTCATGCCTTTCCCTCAAGCGACACTATGGCCATCATGGGACTGTAGTTTCCCAGACCACCTGTGTCTGCACTTCTGCAGCACTGGTTCATCAAGGTTAAGAATGCACCCAGTTCGATCTTCCTGTGCATGTGCTGCTCCTGTACTTCTTCAGTCTACTCAAATGGGGAAAGCAGAGTGAGGTTTATGTTTTGTGGAGAGAAAAGTGGAATAATAAGTGACACCTAAGTCATACGTGGGAGACGGATGGGAATTCTAACACATACATGGGGAAATACATGTATGATTTACAATAACTAAAACTGTTTAAACAGAGTGATAGCAGACAGAAATCCTGGTAACAAAGAAATGTCTGCTATATGGTGTTATCACAACAAGGATGAGAAGTGAAACCATTTAATCTAGAAATCTTTGATTTATGAAAACTATACAAATGATCCAATCAGCCACCCGTGGGTCACCCCACACACAGGGCCCCAGCCATCTGCCAACCCACCATGGCCAGGAGCCTCTCACAGCCCAAGTGCACTCCAGCCAGGATGCACCCTGTCCTACTGCATTTCTTCACAGGATTTAGCAACAGCCATAGCACAGACCCAGAGCAGGGGCCCACAGAGAAAGGGAGGCACTTTTAGCAAGCTCAGCCAAGTACAAAGTTATGTCAGCAGGCACTCGGTCAGCTGCATCCTGGCCCCAGCCCTGCGTCTCTAACAGGAGTAATATTTGCACAGTGAGGTGCAGAATGACTTCTCCCTACTGGGAGAATAGCAAATGTTCCTTCAAAAGAAGAGTATGAGTTAGTGCCCCCAAAAGTTGCATTTTCTGAAAATAAAAAGTTCTAAAAAAACAGTTCTCATCACTAGTATCTAAATACTGTATATCAACAAAGAAATATGTATCAGGCAAATAGGTTAAATACTCCAATGTAAAAGACAAAGACTGTTAACTTGGTTATAAAACTAGAAATTCCAGCTAAACGTTTATTAGAAAAGAGAAACGCACCATTAAAAATAATGACAATAGAATGCTAAAAATAAAATGATAGAGAAGTGCTATTCAAACACTACTCATAAGAAAGCTGCTGTAGCTTTTCTAATATCCAAAAAAGTAGGCTTGAAGGCTAGTAGTAAAGACGGTGGACATTATAACATAAAAGGACCAATTCAACAGAGAGATATAATGATCTCAAGTTTGTATGCACCCAATTCAACCTCAAAATATATAATCCAAAAACTGACAGAACTAGAAAGAGGAATGAATTTATAATTGCAGCAAGAGATTTTAACAAAGGTCTCTTAGTAACCAACATAATAAGCAAGTCTGAAAATAAAAATTAAATCCACACAGAATATTTAAATTTCACACAACTGACATAGTACAGTGTTACATCTGGAAACTGCAAAATGTACATTTGTTTTATTATAGGCTGCTAAGTTAGACAAAAATGAACAGACAGACAGGGAAAGGCCCTTGAGAGAGTCTGAAAAAGATAAGAGTACACCAAAACTGAGGCTGGAGACATATGTGAAGACTAGGCCTCAGGACAAAGGTATAATGCCAGGCCCTCATGCCTGTAACCTGGAATTATAATTAGCACCACCTGGTCCAGGAAATCCAGCATCAGCCACACAGGTGGGTGACCACAGCATCCAGACCCATCCTTTCTCTAAAATGCCTTTGTTCTTTCCATGCACCCTTGGTATGTGACCTGCTTCCCTACTGATCAATATTAGCTAAGCAGCTATATTTGTAATCCTATAAATTGATGACAGTTTGACCCACATTGGACCCACATTGTGTCTTTGCTGTATAAATTACCCCTGACAAAGGGCCTTGGTGGCAACTCACTTCTGGGACCTCTCCTGTCTCTTGGGAGTGATCTCTCAATCAACCTTTCCTACTCTGAACCTCCACTGTCCTTTAGAATTGATTCTTTAATTTCAGGGGAAACAAATTTGACACATTTGATGTCTAGCACGTTGGGAGCTGTATTTCTCCTGTATCACTTCCGTGTGCAGCTGCAACATAGATCAGTAGAGATGATGTGATGAGCCAGGAACCCAGGTTCAAAAGTAAACACTGAAACCATAAAGGGTGAGTTTTCTGGCTCCCCAACCGCCATTCCATGCTCCTAGGGCAGAGAAGCTGAGTGGGTCCCAGCACCCGGAAGGAAGCTCCCCCCGCTGCCAACCCACACTCCTAGGGCAGAGAAGCTGAGCTGGTCCCAGCACCCGGAAGGAAGCTCTCCTACTGCCATCCCAAGCTCCTAGGGCAGAGAAGGTGAGCTGTACAGGCACCAGAAGCATCCCATGGAAATGAGAAGACACGTAAACAAGCCTCAAAAACAGACTTCTTGATCACCTATAGCAACCCCAAAGGGAAACAAGATGGAACAATCTGATACTCAACCACCTGGACTCTCTGAACTGGCAACAAAAGAAGATCTGGGAAAAATGAAAT